AGTTTTTATTAAATGAGTAAAGTTAAGTTGAATTAATTGAAAACTGTAAAAAGGGAAGAAATGACCTTTTATCAACTTGGGTGGGCGAGGGTTGTGACCAAGATCAAAGATACAAGCAACAGAAATGAGCTTTCTCCAGAGGGTGGCTGCCCTTTCCCTTAGAGATGGTGAGAAGTTCAGTCATTCAAGAAGTGCTCAGAGTCGAGCTATTGCTTCTCCAATTGGAAATGAGCCGGGTCATTGTTTTGGGCATCTATAGGTTGCCTCATTGGCTCCTCTCAGGTCAGGTGTTCCAAGGTGTCCCACCTGGAGGAAACCCTGTGGCTGACCCAAGACAAACTGGTAAGACTATATCTCTCTGCTGCCATGGAAACGACTTGGCGTCCCCCTGAATAAGCTGTGGGAGGTGGCTGGAGACTTCTCTGCTTAGGTTGTTTCCAGAAGAAGAAGATGGATGGATGGAAATTCCTTTGAGTTTTAAGCCAAATATGTTTGTATAAAAGATTCACATAATAGACGATACACTTTTTAGAGACATTGTAGTAGTTATGCAAGATTGGAGACGCATTTAAGACAATCTTTCATATTGCACTCCACAATGATGTCTGTGATATCTTTGTTCTGGGTCCAGGTCAGGCGCTATGGCAGAGCTCCAGACAACAACCTCTCCTGCAGGAACTGTTAATCGAGCCCCTCACCTGCCCCCCGACCCCAGCTTTGTTTCACTGGTAAAAATAGCCAAGAGAGAGTGTAAGGTGCTAGTGCTGGAATGAATCCAAGATGTACACAAAAGGTAGGAAACTTTGGTGCATGTACTGTTCAACATTACCTGTTTTATTTAGGTGAAACATTAACCGCCTTCTGTAGTTGCACAATCAAAATGGACTGGCTCTTAATGTTGTAAAAATAAGACAAAACTTAGGAAGCTGGAGTGAAATACGTGTTACTTAATATTCATGGTTAACATTCAGCTTCTGGCTGTAGAAAAACAATACAACAAGCTATCACGGGACTAAAGCAACACGACAGCCGAAAGTGTTCGTAACCTTTGTCCAAGCTGACTGGAGGAGCGGTTTGTTTCTAAGTAACTTTAGACCCCTAAAATTAATTGGAATGAAATTTGTATTTCGATTATTTGCCATCAAATGGATAGTGGTGAAAAATGTCCATCTATCAAAATGTACACAAATGTAAATCTACTGCAAACTGGTCTAATGTTGGTACATTTCCTAGGAGCATTTTAAACTTCCTCTCACTCTGTTTCTCCGTTCAGGTGACCTGGACTGTGGGAGCTTATGACAAAAGCATCACTGTTCTGCGGCTGTGCTTCAACACAGAGCAGCCGTCAGATCTTTGTCTTCATGAAGAAGAAGCAACAGTCCTACTATAGTAAATGGTAAAGATGGAGTCAGTGAATGAGGAAGGAAACATGAGTCAGAGGACTGGTGCTGATGAGATTCTGATGTGAGCTCAGGTCAGTGGAGGGATACTTCTGTTTGTTACGCTTCTCCCTGATGACAAATTCCCTCCATCACATCAACATTTTTATTTCCTTTAAAGACCTTTTAAAAATGTTTGTTTTTGCTAAACCTGTTTAACTGTGTATAACTGTTCATACACGTCTCTGTTTATGCTTGAATCTGTTGGTTTCACTCGAGTTTCCTTTTAGCATCATTGAGTCAGGCTCAATAGCACAAAGTAAGCTCCAGTATGTTCATGTCTCAAAATGTGGACGTGATAACAGAACCTTTTACTTTTTACGTTTTTGTAAAGAAATGTTTTTTGTTTTGTTTTGCATCCTGTGCTGTCAACAGACCATAATGTCATCACATTTCAATTAATTTAACTTAATCTTATTACAGTATCCATGTGGCCTTTATATGTAACAATAAATATGTAATTACTCATTCTATTTAACATGTCAAAGGTTTACAGCTGGTTCTTGGCTTCTTGCCTCAAACTTAAAGGATTTATGTCTTAAACTATTCTTATGTCAGCCTCTATGGTTTGCACAGAGACTGATGGGCTAAAAGTTTTGTTTTATAATAGGATCCAATCAGAGTGTGTCGAGCCCTTGCAGTAGTTACTTACTTACTTTCAGTTTATCTTTTGATTTAACTTCTAGCAGCACTGTCTAATATTTCAGACCTTCTTGCTGTGATATTTGCCCCCTCCTTCATTTCCTTCTTGTTTTTGATTTATTAGACTTGCATGTTCCAGATCATAAAAAGACGACGATAACCAGAGTAAATATCCCAGCAGCTGAGCTGGCGGGCAGCGCACTCAACTTTGTGAACGTGCACCAAAAATGGGCCCGATACAGCTTAGAAACAGCTGCTTGATTTTTTTTTTTACATAAAAAACATTAACAATGATAAAATCTGCACTTTAGTTGTGAATATAATTTTTGCTAACACTGATTTTATTGCACTATCATAAAACTGCTTTTTCTGTGCAGTAGAAAACGAGTGATACTGTAGGAGGCTGACAGTTTAAAGAGGACGTACAGTGGGATGCAAACGTTTGTGCAGCCTTGTTAATAGTCATTATTTTCCTGTATAAATCGTTGGTTGTTACAATAATTATTGCACATTTTCTGTAAATCCAATGAACTTCATTGCACTTCTCAAATATCACTGTGTGTGTCTCCTGTATGATATATTTAACTGACAGTTTTTATTAGCCAACGATTTATACAGGAAAATAAGGACTATTAACAAGGCTGCCCAAACGTTTGCATCCCACTGTAACTCATTTGTATTGAGACTGAAGATGATTGCATGTGCAAGTGCATGTTTGGAGTCATTGCACTGGTGGTACCAATGTCTTCGCTCATGGCATTGTTATGGATTAGAATCTGAGCATCTGCCTAAACATTGTGCACAGTTTAGTAGAGATAAATGCAAAAATAGGCTTACAATTAAAAAACTGACGTAACAGTTACAGGTATGTGCAGTGACTGTCAGGGTCAGATGATGTAATACTTTGAATGTATTAGGGTTAGGGTATTATGGGCCATCAAAGTTCTCATTCTCATTAGAACAGTTGTGTTCAGCACAGTGTAGGAAACAACATCCTGAATGTGTGCAGCTGAGACTGTAATCTTAGTGAGTCTGTGCACAGCTGCTGGGTTTTTGCTTTTGTTAAAAGTATTGAGCGACCTTTCTAACAACGTAACCCAGTTTGGAAATATACGTTCCTGGTTCTCTAGTGCAGCAAGTGGCATCAACCACACTGTGGGTGCTACACAGTACTTCCTGATTATTTAGTATTTTGTACCGTGTGAGAAACTATGAAGTCTGTGCGTTTGTGCGTGCATAGATCGATCTAGATTCTTCTTTTTTATGACTGACTGTAAGTTTGAGCTCACTTTCTTAATAAATTTGGGATGAATTTCATAGTGTCATCAGTTGTTCTACACTGTATAAAGCTGTGAATAAAAATATGTATAAAACCTCTGCAAAATATACTCTATTCATACTTTCAGACGTGTATTTTTAGTAGAGTTGACCAGCTGGTCATTAGTTAGATGTTCTCCCACGTTTTAGAGGCTAAACTTGTAAATATAGGAGTTTGTTTTTTAAATATATGAATAAAATCCTTTGCAGTCAGTGACCCTAAAATCTAGAGCTCATTTACATCATCAGATGCCCGTGACATGCTCTGGCAGGCTTTTATTGCCCTGCCTTCAGTTCCTGGGTTTTCTGCATTGTTCTTTGATAACTCTGTTGAATAGAGGACAGTTGACTCGCTGGGCTCGTGAACAATTTCCTGTGTTTCGCCTTTAAAAACATGTAGCTTGCATTTACAGTATACTGTGTAAGATAAAGGTCTAATCATCTCTTACTTTACTCAGATTGCACAGAATGTATATTTGTTAATAATTTGAATTAGTTTGGATAAGTGTAAGATAATAAGGAATTTCAGTTTTTCTTTATAATTTTGTTTAGCGTAATATTTACAATTAAATTGTATTTTCTTTCCTTATTTAATTTTGACGTACTGTTCCTTTAATACATGGTAACCGTGCACGGGGGGAGCGTT